TCTCTGCATGCAGAACTACTCAGGTCAATTTTCCATTTGAGTATAGCAAACTCCAGTGTTAAATTCCAGCTTTTTGCAGCTGAATCAACATATGCATTTATTCGCCACGCTCAGATTAAGTTTGTACTTACAATGTGAAATGCAAATATATGTCTGAAGCTGTAAAATGCTATTTGGCTTTGCAGACTCTTAAAGACAGGTTCCCTTAATCTTTTATGACTTCAGCTATCTAATTTAAGACCATTCATCTTTCAGATCCATGAACACAGTCTGGATTGTAATGAACAGCTGAACAGATGCATTCGCTGGGCAGATGCCCTGGTGATTGTCTTCTCCATCACAGACTATAAGAGCTATGAACTACTCAGTCACCTTTACCATCACATTCGACAGTTGCATCCAGGAAATGCAGTCCCTGTTGTCATCGTAGCAAACAAAGCTGATCTCTTGCATATCAAAGAGGTGGAGCCTCAGCATGGACTTCAGCTGGCCAACATGCTGGGCTGTACTTTCTACGAAGTATCTGTCAGCGAAAACTATAACGATGTCTTCAATGCCTTCCATCTCCTCTGTAAAGAAGTCAGTAAACAGCAAACAACCAGCACCCCTGAGAGAAGGAGAACCTCTCTTATCCCACGGCCAAAATCGCCCAACATGCAGGATCTGAAGAGAAGGTTTAAGCAAGCTTTGTCTGCCAAAGTGAGGACTGTCACTTCTGTCTGACAGCAGAGCTGTTGGTCTTCCCAACGTTTAGCCTGAGACTGAAACCTGGAGTGTTTAACACTGGCACATCTAGAGTTTGAGGCATTGTGAAAGAAGGATGGTTCAGGTAGCCTTTTGCATGGCTGTACAAACAAGCAGTTGCTTAAAAAAAGGAACAGTGGCAGATTGGAAAAGGAAAAAACCCCCAGAACTCTTGAAATGGTTCTAGGATGTGACTTGTAGAACAAGTATTTTCATTTGGAAAAGGAACTTTCCAGTAAATGAAACAAGCCTTCAGTTTGCCTTTTCTCCACTGGGATAGATTTGACTTCACGCTTTTGCAGAAACCACCTTTTAGCTGTAACTCTTAACTTCTCATACTTGAGCAGGGAAACACCCTGAACTGCAGTTCACTGTTCAGAAGTAACCACTTGAGTCTTGTTTTCACTTGGATGAAGGACAGTATGATGTATCGGTTTAATTTTATTGCACAGTAGAACTGTTTATTTCCTGTGTATTTCAAAACAAGTAAGCAAACACAAAAATCATTCAGTAAAAATAATTGTAACATAAGTGGACATGACTGGGGATCAAGACTGAAAACAATGGTCCTTTATTTTTCTACTAGCTATGTTATTGCTGACAACTTGACCAGCCTCTTTGTATGCGAAACTATTGTTTGCAGGGTGTAAACATATCTAACTGCAAGTAACTTGTGGGGGTTTTTTACTATCTGAAAAAAATACTGTCCGGACTAAATGATCCTGCATGGAGCTTTTGAGGAATGAGCCTGGAGTTGGAGTGATAGGTTCATTATAGCTGCCAGTCTAAGACACTTCTCTCTCTGTTGCAGTAGGCACAGAAGGAACGTGGCTGTGATTCAGCTCGGTGTGAAGCACGGCTGGCTCCAGGCAATGAAGCTGGTGGTTTGTTCTGAGCTGAGCCAGTCCCTCTTCATCCTTAAACATGTGTGGCAGATTTCTATGTATATATATTTTTTTTTACATTGAGCTAAAGGAGTTCACAGGCTAAAGGCCTTATACACATGCACTTTAAAAAGCCAGTTGTGCTTTTGTTTAAACTGTAACTTATTTATTTTGTGTACAGTTACTCCTCATAGGGAGTGGACTTTTCATTCTTACTGCCTGGTTCAACATTAAATTTTTGAATTGCATGTTTTTTGTGTGTTCTTTGTGGATGAGAAACAATGGGCAATAACCAGTGAAATGTTGAGACAAAGTAATAGTTTTCTCAAGGTAGTTAACATACATTGCAGAAACAGTCAGAAGGCCTTTCCTGCCTATACTGTTGCTTTATTAGCATAAACCACAGGGGGGGAGCTCTCACAGATGCTTTACAACTTCCTTTTAAGAAATTCTTTTAGGAGGAACTGAATAAGGCAGAGACCTTTCAAATTAAAATGGGATTCTTCATTTCCCCTCATCAAAAAAAATCTGGTGAGAAAGGAAGGGTGTGAGGTAAGTCAAAATCTGGAAGAACATTATCTTCTAAGTGACTGCCACTTTCCTATTTAAAAAAACAAAACTGTAAGCTTTATATATTGAGCTATATCACAATGAAGAACTTAATCAAATTATGAGTCTTCTGCTATTTTATTCATGTTTAAAGTAGCTTTACTGGGAGCTCTCCTGGGGAGGATATTTGTGCTGGGACTAGGGTGACTGGTGCACAGGCTCACCTGCTTAACATGCAGCTGTAATAATACCTGGTTGTAAAGGTCCTGATGATGATAGTCTTTTTGACCATGAGCTACTGGCTGAGTGACTTAGCACTGGACTTGAAAACAAAACTGAGCTTGCCCTTCCAGTCTGAGCTTATTACCAAATACTGCTGAGCTCATTAATATAGTAGTAGACCCATTTGCCAAGGGTGGACTTGTGTTTTCTCCTCCTCCTTTTTGAGTATTGCTTAGTGTCACAAGCAGAAGGCTTAGACGCTCCTTGCTGTGGTCCTGTACCTGCCCAAGCAAAGTCTCTTCTGTGCAGTTCCTGCTCACATGTGACTTGCAAGAGACCTCTCATCCTCCTGGCCTTTTCCCCAAGCACAGGCTATGTGTAGCTACTACAGCTATTTCCTACAAACAAGGAGCTAACTGGTATACCAGGGCCACTGGAAAGACTCCACTCCAGTCTTGGTCTCAAAGAGGAGCAGGCTTTTTTGATCATTTTCTTTCATCTCTTTAACTACTCGAGTACAAGATGGTGGTTGAGTCCCAGTATTTATTGCCACAGCCGTGGCGCCACTGTCTGAAAAGATTCCTCTAAAGTGTATGTGTAGGCCTGCAAAACTAGTCTCTGCCTCAGTCAGAGGACCTACTTGACCCATAGGAAGTGCAAGAACACCAGCATCTGCTTAGACTCACCCCTGCTTCTCACTGTCCTAGACAGTATGGCCTTAAATGGCTGAGTCAGAGACTTGAGAGCATCTGAGAAAAGACAGGAAAGCAGCAGCATCTCAGAGGTGTGAGTACCTGAACACAATGGCTACTGGATGCAGGAGAGCCCTTCTGCTACCAGCAGAGCATGGAAACCCTGCTAGGATACCTCCCAAGACAGAAGGACTAAGTTCTTAGGGGCAATCAAATAATGTAAAAAGAAAAATGGATCGTAGGAATATGCAGTCCTGGCATGTGTAGACGTGCACACTAGGATGGAAGAAGAGGGTTGAGGTTCAGCATTGTAAGAGCATTGCTTTATTGATTACAGAATTTACAAAACATACATATTCTAAGATTAAACAGCACAGAAGGACAGAAAAGAAACCAAGAGACTGGCTATTTGCTTTCCAGTTGCTCTGTTCAAACTATTTCTTAAGCTTTTAGCATTGCAATCTCGTAATATTTCTCATTTTTTACGGCACAAAGTTCCATTCTATGTTCATTCTTACAGATCTCTCTTCCATAGAGGCAACATTGTCCATGCTTTATAATCAGTCCATTGTTTCCTTCTAGCCACTCAAAAGTGAATTTAAATCAAAATGTACCCTTTTCTGCAGACCATTATAAACATTTAAGACAACTTAGACTAGCTAATGAACAAAGGTTAAAAAGCTCCTTCCCATTTAATCCATTCCTTTGGCATAATAAAGAATGCTATGATAAAGTGAATGTCGCTTGTAATTCCACATTCCCATTCTCAGTGTAAGCTGTAGTCTTAGCATCCCTTGGATGAAGTAAGAGGATGCAGCTTTAGAGCTCCACCATTTTATGTTGCAATTCGGTAATCTTGGTGCTATAAGCAATCACAATCTCTACTGGCTGCTGCTTTTTTATCACAGATTGTATCAAAGTTTTATAAGGAAAAATTACATAACTGAATTTGATAGCTGCTCTTTCATAATCATAAATTAAAAGTAAAAACAGTTTGCTAATCATGCTGTTTAGAAATCCAGCTCAAGAAAGAATTTGTCACTGTGGCCTGTTGAAAATGAGATCGTACTTTTTTTTCCCCCCTCTTTTCCTTTTTAAAATGCATGTGAGGGTAGGATTCTTCCAGGGTTATCATCAAACCATCACAGCCCATATGTCCTCCTGCGTAAATTTACAGAGAAGTGTGCTACCAGAAACAGCCTTTTCTCCTGGGACTGCGGGTGGAGAAACTAGAGCAGGAAATGGGAAGCTGAGAGAGAAGCAGCCATGTAACCTGGCCCTTGAGTCTGGCTCTCTGCTCCTCTGCCTCAACCAGTCCTGCTGGGAGAGCATCGCCAGGCTGGGAGATGCTCTGCCAGTTAAATCAGGATCGTGTTCCGTGGCCTCTGTGGGGTGAGGGACCAAGAGCGAGCAGAGGCTGTTAACACTGTATAAGGCACGTGTTTTGCAAGGAAGCGTGACAGAGAGGGTGGATTTTGCTAGCCTTTCACTCCCTCAGCAGCATTTCCCACCAGAAGCAACCTCAATGAAACCATCAGGAACACTCAAAGAAAAAACAGTACTGCTTGGGGAGTACTTCAGCATCACCTGGTCCTCAACTGCTCCTTTTCTAGGGAATTATTACAAGTGATCATCCTCGCCATGCTGAGTGGGGCTGGGGGGGAATTCAGCACCACACAGTGTTAGTGTTAAGGAGGGGGAAGTTGTTGCTGGACAACTGGACCGTTTTGAAGAGCTGCCTGGGAGCTGCACATGCTCCCTTGCAGCCAGATACCCAACTTGTTTCAGCTGGAGCCGTAACTGCAGCAGGGGACATGAAATTTTTTGGAGGGCTATTGGGAAGAGTGACAGTCCACGGATTTGATGTTTCCAGCCAAGGTACTCACTCATCTCCACAGAACTTCCCTCGTCAGATATCGGTGTCAGGCTGGAGACGGTCTGTGGCAAACAACAACTCAATAGCACTACGTGGAGTCAGGAGTGCGGAGGAGAGCACCATCACCTGAAAGAAGGGGAACAAGAAACAACGAGTCAAAACAAAGGGACCGAGACTGATCTCAGTACTAATGAGCCGCGGATATGAACTGCTTGCTTCACCCAGCACTAGACAGGCTGTGTGTTTCTGGTGTTTACTGACAGGGCAATACAACTTGCTCAGTGAAACTGTCTGCTCGCTAATAACTGTAGTTAAATCACTTCAAGGAGCATAATGACTGGTAGCATTGTGCTCTTAATGAACGTGTGCTTTGACTCATTCCTACCCACATCTCACCCGGCGATTTGTTGTGACTGCCATCGTGTTTACCGCGAGGCACCAGCTGATGAAGCAGGGGTTCCTCTTCTATAGCACAGTTTTGAGTGACGGCTGTTTCCTCTCAGTTGAAGATAAGGCGAGCACCAGAGACATGCTGCCAGCCTGCTGTGAGGAGCCACAGTCCCTGTTCAGAAACGTCCCTTCAGGCCAGGCTTCTGCACATCAGGACCAAAGCTTAACCTTGGGCACTGCTGGGATGCTATTGCTTTTGTTTGATCAAATTTTTAATCCAAGACGGGTCTGATGAATGAAACCGTTGCTCACTACAACCATGATACACACCTGTAAGATGCAGGTATCTGTCTGTCTTAAGTGAAAACCAGTATGTAGGTGTGTAGTGTCAAGGTTCCTCTCCAGGGCAAGGCTATCAACAAGGAGTGAGCGTGTATGCTCAGGGCCAAAGCTGTAGGACGCTGCTCTTACAAAGCCCCGAGTTCAGTAGTGTCTGTAGGGTCAGGACTGGGGGCAGATTTATCTTACTCACCCACTTCAATGTGAATTTGGTTCTTCAGTGCAAATCCAAGGAGAGGAAGCACAAGCATCAACAACAGAGTATGTGTGTCTGTTTCTCACAGTAGTGATCAAACCACTTGTGCTCTGCATTGCATGGCTTAAATGTGTGGTAGTGCTACACTTCAACTTTTTTTGTTGTTCATTCTTTCATCTTTGCACTTCAAATAACGAAAGGAATTTGGAGTTAAGTTACTACAGATCCCTTCTGTACTGATGATAGTCTCCCCCTCACTTCTCCCCTTCCCTTGTCCTCCCACACAATCTGTGGCAAACTGACACTGATTATCTCTTCTCCTTCCTATGTTTGAAAAACTCTGTAATTTGCAGATGCCAAAGGCTGACACTGCCTTACTTATGTTCCATGAGAATCAGACTATAGCACAGTATGTGCTCATCTTGTTATCACGCAGCTTAATTCTGAAAAACACGAGGGGACACGTTACCAAAGTTTTTTGGGTGTACAAGCCAAATATCAACAATAGCCATTGCCAGATAAAAGCAATTTCTTCTCCCACCACTGAGCCCTGAGGGGATTTACGCAACTAACAGCAAGCTCAGAGACAAAAGTAAGATCTGCAACTTTAACTTTTGAGAAAGGATGCAGCCAAACACAGTGGGACTTCCCTCCTTTGCCCCCAATATCTCTGAGGGCTTATTGAGGGGGATAAACATGAATATTTGTTCCTTCATTTTTACAGAGAAGTGAGGAATTGCCCAGATGAGTAATGTCCATCTCTTCTCCAGGCAGGTCTCTTCAGGACAGCCTATCTCCTTTGCAGACCTTCTGCTTGCTCAGTACAGCACGCCTGTCTTTGATGTTTCACTTTAAGGGCTGATGGAGCTGAGGAGCCAGGAGCTCCCATCCCAACCCACTGCGCTGCACTGGGCAGTTGCCCCTCAGCAGAGGACAGGGAAGGATGAAGCTAACATCTGATGGTGCATCTGGAGGGGTTTATCTGTCCGCTTGCCTCAGCCAGAGCCACATAGATGGTTGTGCATGTTGGGAGGAGGGAGGGTAGAAGATCCACTCATGCTCTTTGCCCTTTTTTACTCTCCTGATTAAAGAGGAAAAAAAAGGTCACTTCTCCCTGTTGAAGTAAGGTATTTCTCACTAGGTTTGGGGAGCTATTCACCACCACCCAAACCCAAATGATTTGCAGGAAATGCTGTATTTCTTTGTGCTCCTCCATGAAAGATAAAATTGTCATTCACATTCAGATGCAGAGGAATTCTGTGGACAGAAACATGTATCTCCTACTCCACAGTTAAATGTCATTGCCTCAACTCCAAACAACTGCTGAAGTAATCAGTGTTCTGTCAGTTTTTCAGTTACTTTCCTCAATTCTTTAGTTTTGCACCCACACATCTCTCCATTTCTCCAAGAACCAATAATGAGTATAAATGTCAGTGCTTTGTTTGACTGGAAGGGACTCAGGAGGCCAGTGTTCCCCTGATGCCTGAACCTGATTGCCTGAACACCACAAAAAAAGCTCTGTTAAATGCTGGCTTGAGTAAGACAAATGCCTGGCTTTTTGAAAAGAGAATAATCCCAAACAGGTGGCACATATTCACAGCTGTAGTGCAGGAATCCAGGTAAATCCAACAAACTCATAAACTTTTTTTATATATGAGAGACTTGCACAACTGCTTCTTTTCTTCTTTCTCTTCCTCCTCCCGCCTCTCCCTCAGTCCTTTCACCTCTTACACAGCACATTTGGACAAAGGGCAAGATGCAGTAAAAGCTTAAAATTCTTTAGGAATCTGCCTCAGAGGGTGACCTGCTGCCGGGGTTAAGCCAAAGCAAAGCAACACCAGATCCCATGTCACCACTGTCAAGCCTCAAGTCCCTCTAGAAAGCCAGTCGAAAGTCTCCCTGCATAGTTCTCAACCAACTCACGTGTTAGCCCTCTGCTTATCTTTCAGGGTGCATTAATACATTTTGGATGTGGATTAACTTGTCCATCAGTGTGCCACAACTCAATCCCCCTCCAAGAGGGGAAAGAATTTCATTTGCTGTTTTGAGCAGATTAGCAATAGGCTAACGGGGGAGAAATGTATTATCAGATCAAAAAATCCATCGCTAAAAATGGCACTCTGTGTTACAAAATACTGCTTGAGACTGCCTTGCAAAGACAACTAAAACATAGAAAACACATGTCAAACCGAGGGGCTGCTCTGCCTTTGGTTGGCTCCATTTTGTTAATGATTTCTCACTAATCAAAACCGCATTCCATAGGAATTGAAAACAAGATGTTTACAAGCCACTTTGGAAACTAGACTTATGTTTATGATGCAGCTGGTTACACAGCACTTTGCAGTTTTTAGATTACCCTGTGTATCTGCACTACTCAGCAGATATCCAATCACTCTTGTACATCCTCCTCCAAAATCAACAATGATTTTTAATGTCTCAGACACTGCCGGAGTCTATCCATCATCCTCCTCTCCCTCTCCATTCAGATGACAGCTGCTGTAGTCCGGTTTTGCTGCCAGAGAGTGGAACAGGCAAAAAACAGCTACATGGATGCTATTGAAGCTTCACTGTGGGAGCCATCCTCCTTCCAGAAGTCCAACAGGACATCCAAGGGCCGCAGAGACTTTCTCCACATTACCTGCTTCAGGCTATTTAAGGCATCTAGCAGTCAGGAATCTTACCAGAGATACCTGGCCGGACCCAGAAATCAGCACAGCTGTACGCAGAGTAATTTATCTTGCATCTTCGTAATGCTAACTGACTAGTCTGCAGGATCACCACTGATATGTCACTAGATGGTATCCAGGCCCTTGGCAGGCTTCTTCTGAGCGTCCCTGCACTGTGCCCTGTAGATGCAACGCCAGGGAACCTGCGGACTTTTGGACAGCAAATGTTTCTGTTTATAAGGAATATCAAGAAATGAGTCTTTTGAGACATGATGAAAGTTCCTTCAAAATAATGCCAGTCTGTTCTGAACTATCCAATCTGAGTTTTAACTTGTATTGCTGACGCTAACATGTGAAAAACGGACCCCTGGTGCCTGAACACTTGTTGTCTACAGATGTTTCACGGCAAAACCCTAACACCATTCCTGCCTATATGGCTGTAGCTTCGTGTAGGTTTGGTACCTGTGCTATAGGGAATTTTCTTGGTTCAGATAGGAATAGTGCATTTAGACCTGTTTTTACCTGGGTACCAGGTTTGCGTGTTGCTACCAGATCCTTCACCATTTTGACCTCAGAGACTGTCACTCCACCAACCATGAAGATGATCAGAAGAGGATGATCACCAGGGTGAGGGCGATTCACCTGTAAAATGAAGGAAAGCATTATTTGTACTTGCTCAGTCCAGCTCCAAATCTATGGACTAGCAGTGATCGTCTCCTTGAACTGCTGGAGGAAGACTAATGAGGAAGTTCAGAAAGAAACATTCATGGAATGCTGGTTTCTGTAGCAGCTGAGAGGGAAATCAATGGGGATGACACCCAGTTAAAACTAATGAACTGCTTCCAGGGAAATGAAGTCTTCATGGCCTCCACTGAAACCTAGAGGAGTTCCTCATGAGGTCTGAGGGCTTCTCCCTCCATTCCTTCTTCACGTCTTTCCTCCCTTACCTAGAGTGGGAGGAGAGTACTCAGGTGGATGCACAGTTTGGATACATGTACACATGGGACCTTACGGAATGAGGGGTAAATTACTACCCAGTAGAAGCAAGAAGTCCAGGCTAAACACGCTAGAATTCCTGCCTGAGGTCAGCAACGGAAAGAATCGTAAGCAATGTGTTTTCACCAGTCCAGCGAATAATCCTTTACAATTCATCCAACAAAAATAAATGAGGTTCATTATAGTATAAAACCAGTTCTAGCTTGTTTCACTTCAGAGTTTTCAATACTTCTAGGACTGGGCTGTAACTAATATAAACTTTAGCCCAAACAAAATACTTGTTTCATTTTTCCCCAATTATCACTAAAATGGCACAAACATTCCACTTCAGTCAAGACTTTATAAAACCATGTTTTAATTTCAAATGTGAAGGTGACACTTTACATCAGTTTCCTCTTAACCACTTCTAGAAGTTTGACTGCTTTTCTGTTTCCCAGCAAACTCTTTCTTTCTTGATAAAACACAGTCTTTGGGAGTGATGTCAACGGAGCCCATGCGATTGCTCGTCACACCACCTTTGAGTATGAAATGCTCCAAATGTTTGGCTCCGAAAAGAGACAGTGAGAACAGTTTCATTTGCTCCTTTTTAGACTCTCCGCCCCCTCTCCTTCCACAAGCGTAGGTTTTCGACAGCATTCACTTGACAGGATAAAAGTGGTCATCAACCCGTGCTTGGGCGGAGCGCGGTTCCTTTGCTTTCACCACCACGGCAGCTATCTTTGATCCCTGCGCCTGCAGCTCCTGAGGGTACAGCTCTTCTTCTCTTCCTTGTTGTGGTTGCCCTATATTTAGTCTTTGGGCAGTTTTTCATCCTGCAGCTCTGTCAGGCTTTCTGACTGGCAACCTTCAGAAAAGACTCTTCCCTTTGAAGCAAGCACTGGGGGATGGCGTACTCTCTCTCCAGGCTAGCTGGCCTTTGATTACACAGGGCTCCCCGTGCAACGCTGCTCCCCAGGCAGGGAGCTCTTCAATTCCCTGGGAGCCTGAAACCAGTACAAAAAGACTTAGACAGATGTATTAGTGAGCTGAGTATTTGTGTACTGGGTGTTTATTCTCTTAATCACCCCCACTTTGCCAGACATATTCACTGAGCTGACGGCACAGATAGCACATACTACAATTCAGCAGTGTCCAGCAATTCTGGTGTGATATTGAGCAATATTCCGTTATACCAACAGACCAATTGAATGGATACACTGGAGCTTACAAAGACTTTCTTTATGCACTTTCCCACATCAGACTTCTCGCTTCTTACTATCCGGATACAACGTAGTGTCAATCTCAAATGAAAAAATGTCCATTCCTATTACAAACACCATGAGAAGTTTAAGTAAGACCCAAATACTTACAAAGCAGGCCAAGTAGAACTACTACTTGTTAAAATATTAGAGAATTTCATGCCATAATTGCTGTAAGCAGAGACACAATGTTAAAGAAATAACGGCTCACAAAGATGGTGAAGATAAAAGTTGACAAAATGCTCTGCTACGGAACTTTGAGGTAATACAGGAATTACTGTTTTATTTCTTTTCATAGCTCTTTGCTCTTCTTAACCCTGTCGCAAGAGCAAACGGCTCAACTCCATGTCACAAAGATTCTCAACGACCCAAGACTTAACGCAAAGACCTCGAACTTCAGAGGCTTGCTATTGAATAAAGTCTCTATTTCTTAATGTCCTTACTAGCGACAACAAACTCATCATACACATGCATGCATAACACTGAAAGGACACCCAGTATAAGAGTATTAATTGGAAAACACAAGCTTTCATGGCAATGCTAAAGAGAAAATGTCTTAACAAATCATTTCCTTCAGTCAAAATAAAACCTAGATCCAAACACATGGTGCCTATATAAAACTTATTATTTTTCAGAAGACTAAAGTTCAAACCACAAATTCCAGAAATGCATATTAAAAATACTATTAGGCATGCAAACTTTAAATTAAATTAAAATTGCAATGAAAAGGGTCTTGGAATCTGTAATTTTGTTATGCTATGTACAAGTGTTTTGAAGGAAGACAATACTTTGGGTACAAAATATTTGGCTGTGTTAAGAATGTAAGTTTCTGCCAAGATTTTTTTGTTTGATAATACAACCACCCAAGGCTCTCTCTATTGAAGGAACTGGCTGTGTATAGCTAAACACAACTCATTTCTGTGATACAGAGAAGAACTGAAATGGACGGCAACAAAAGCAATGTGTATCTTCTGGGATCCTTCTAAAGTTTGGTTGGTTTGGGACATTTCTGAAGCCTCTGAATTGCATTTACTGCGCAATCTGAATTTTGCAACAATCCCCAAATGAAATACACTTTCAGTTCAAAATTTCATGTGTTAAAAAAAAATGGGACAGTTATCTCGGGCAATTAGAAAGACCAACCAAGAAAAAAGTAAAACCATTACATAGAGTGAAAGAGACTGAAGGAAGAAGGAGAGATGGCTCCCAGAGCTAGCAGAGCATCCCAGCTGGACATCATCCTTCTCTCCAGCTCTGAGCCCACCACTGCTGCATTTCCTCCCAAAGCTGGTGGTTAAAGGGCTCTTTGCTGGCACATGTGTCTGCATGGAGGACAGGCAGAGAGGGATATGGGGAAACGGAGTGACAGCAGTCAATAAAACTCTAAAACTGAAGCAGCAAGGGGTTAGAGGACAGGTTTGTTCTCATGGAAGCTCACAAAACACAGTGTTTTCCTCAGAGGCAAGTCAGTAGAAACAACTTCTACTGCCCCGCTGGGGCTATCTCTGCCAAAGAGGACACCAGCACCAATGCATCTGGTATTTGTGACCAACCAGAAACCAATTTATTTAGCTGAGTAACTGGAAAAAGGAAAACTCATTGATCACCAGAAAACAGACCGCCATGCAAGGCACTTGGTACCAATGATACTAAGCTCAGATCATCACAAAACATGTGTGTTCTAGAGCAGCAGTCAAAAGAGAAAACCTGGCGGCAGCGAGGCCTTTTCCCTTCACCTTCCTTAAGCTTCAAAACAAACAAATCCACCAGAGAAACAACTTCTGGATGAGAGGTAGCTTTAACAGTCTGTCCTGGTTGAACATATCTGAGTCCATCACTTACCAAAGCATGTTTATGTGAGTTGGCATTTATATTCAGGCATTGAGGAAGAAGTACAAACACAAGGAAGCTCATGAAATAATTACAGTGCTGATGGTGCAGTCAGTGGAGAAGATCGTTTTGTGTGAGAAATACAGGCTGGTCAGAAACTCATTTATGTAGTATTTGAGCACTTGCCAACAAGCCAGGCTACAAACTAAACGAGCAAGCATGGACACATTTGTGAGGTATGTGAGGACGCCTATGAAATATTCATCCTACACAAGGTTCACTTGCTCATCTGTTATATATTCCTTACAGTAGGATATTTTTCTTACTAGCAGAGATGCAGGTGCTTACAGGTACATATTGCCATGATATACTTCATACTCTCCCATAATACTCTTCGATGGAGAACTCAGGATATGTAGTAAGATAGAGCTGAATGTACAGCATGCTAGGTACTCCACACTTCATCTCTGTAGACATTTAACAAACACATAGCATAGGCTAATTTGTAAAGCAGAGTAAGCTCTTGTAGAAAGACTGCCTTAAAACATGCTAAGAGCATCCACAAGGCAACATCTGACTTCTGTCCTCCCCAAGTCGAACCTTATCAAGTTATTGAAAAGGCACTGAATATGGAGCTCCTCTGATGAACTTTCTTCCCTGTGAGACCTGACTATTTGTACTTACTTCTCTCCTATCTCAAGGCTGCTTGGTGTCTTTAAAATCCTTTGATGAGGTGCCTTGCCGAATCCCTTTTGGAAATCCAGGTAGATTATATGAACTGGCGCTTGCTTCTGAATGTGCTTGCTGGGTGTCTCTGAAGAGCTCTGAAAGCTATGTGAGGCAGGACTTCCCTTTAGCAAAGCCACACTGCCTCTTCCCAGACATATCACCTCATTTAGGTAGGTGTCCAGTCTGTTCCATTCCTCTTGTT